CAAGCGGCAGCTGGCAGACCTGCCAGTGAGGTGGCAATTGTGGACTGCGGAAGAGTGAGCAACCTGGGATCCCAGAGAAGGGACTGAGGTCCCAGGAGAATGGAGCTACCGCCATTGTTCCCTCCCTCCCACCCCTGCCCCCACATACAACGTCACAATCTAGCACTGGGGTGCCCAGCCCCGGTGAACACCTAAGGCTCTGCCCCTCACCGTAACAGGAGTGACCAGACCAAAAAGGAGAGAGAGAGAGAGAGACATGTCTCAAACAGAAGAACAGATCAATGCCCCCAGGACTCATCCTTTTGAGCGACCAAGAGATAGCCAATCTATCAGATACACAGTTCAAAACACTGGTGATCAGGAAGCTCACAGAATTGGTTGATTTTGGGCACAAATTACATGAAAAAATGCAGGTTACCATAAAAGAGATGAAGGAAGATGCATGGAGAACCAATAGTGATGGGAAGGAAACTGGGACTCAAAACAATAGAGTGGACCAGAAGGAAGAAAAACAACCAAACATGAAAGAATGGAGAAATAAGAATTCAAAAAAACGAGGAGAAGCTTAGGAACCTCCAGGACATCTTTAAACGTTCCAACATCCGAATTATAGGGGTACCAGAAGGGGAAGAGGAAAAGCAACAGATTGAACACATATTTGAACAAATAATAAAAGAGAACTTCCCCATTCTGGCAAAGGAAATAGACTTTCAGGAAGTCAGGAAGCTCAGAGGGTCCCAAAGAAGTTCAACCCAAGGAGGAGCACACCAAGGCACATCATAATTACATTAGCCAAGGTAAAAATGAAGGAGACAATCCTAGAAGCAGCAAGAGATAAGGGGACAGTCACCTACAAAAGAGTTCCCATCAGACTGTCAGCTGATTTCTCAAAAGAGACCTTACAGGCAAGAAGGGGCTGGAAAGAAGTATTCCAAGTCATGAAAGGCAAGGACCTATATCCCAGATTACTCTATCCAGCAAAGCTTTCATTTAGAATGGAAGGGCAGATAAAGTGCTTCTCAGATAAGGTCAAGTTAAAGAAGTTCATCATCACCAAGCCCTTATTTTATGAAATGTTAAAGGGACTTATCTAAGAAAAGAAGATAAAGACAAAACACGTATAATAAAAGGACGGCAAAGTCACAATTATTAACACCTAAAGCAAAACCAAAAGAAACTAAGCAAACAACTAGAACAGGAACAGAACCACAGAAATGGAGATCACATGGAGGGTTAGCAACAGGGGAGAGGGAGGAGGAGAGAGGAGGAAAGGTACAGAGAATAAGTAGCATAGATTGTAGGTTGAAAATAGATAGGGGGAGGGTAAGAATAGTATGGGAAATGTAGAAGCTAAAGAACTTATAAGTATGACACATGGACATGACTAAAAAGGGGGATATGGGTGGGAGAGGGTATACAGGGTGGAAGGGAGTGAAGGGGGAAAATGGGACAACTGTAATAGCATAATCAATAAAATATATTTTAAAAAACATAGAGTAATGGTTACCCTTGTGGGAGACAGTGACTGGGAGGAGCAGGAGGGGCCTGGGGAAGGGGCATGCCCTATCACGTGATCTGAGTGTGGCGCGCACGTTGTACTCCAAGAGGATTCACAGAACTGTGTGCTTTGCTGTACATCTGACACATTAAAAGAAGATAAAAACCAATTTAAAACCAAGCAATCAGAAAACCCCTGAAAAGCAAAAAAAAAAAAAAAAAGAAAGAAAAGAAAAAAGAAAGAAAGAAACATGTGCCACCTTGCTGTTGAACATCTCTCCTAAAGGACGCACCTCCAATGGGGCACTGGACTTCCACCTGGACCACGTCCCAGCCACCCCCTGGCCCAGGAAAAGTGAGCACAGAGATGGAAACTCCCCTCCTGGGAGCAGGCCATGGGCTGGCAACAGAGACTCTGGGGCCCTGACAAACAGCAGTGGCGTGTGGGGCTGTCAGGAGCAGAGCCCCGTGTGGGACTATCCTGATGTGGCATAATATTGCTGGGAGGAAAAACACAGGGTAGCAGGAAAAAGCAACACAGATTAGTCTGCGAGTCTTGATGTGCAGAAATTTCAGCCTCATCACTTGAAAAGAACCAAAATCAGTATTTGGTGAATACGGAGTCAGCCTGCATATTGGCATCTGCCAGAAGCAATCAGATTTCCCAAAGGACCTCTGACAGCAGGCAGGTTACCACTGCAATGCTGCTTGCTCATACACTTGCCCCTGCAAGTGTTTATTCTCAACACAGAAACCAGAACTCTCTGAGAACCTAAGCTAGGTTCCATTCTCTGCTCAGAGCCCGTCAGCGGCTCCCGTCTCACCCAGAGCAAACGCTTAGGTCCTTACACAGGCTTTCAGCCTTCAGTGTCATGGGGCCTTACCTCCACCCTGTCAGCTCATCTCCAACCTCTCCCCTCTGGCTAACTCTTCTCCACCCACATGGGCCTCCCTGCTAGGAGCCCAAGCTTCTTCCCCAGAAATCTGCACAGCTCACTATATAGCCCACTCTACTCACACGTCACCTCAGGGAGGCCTTCCCCGGCTCCCTATTTAAACAAAAACCTCTTGCCACTGCCTCCTCCGCCAGCTGGGGAATTCCCCATTTGGCTTAACTGTCTGATTTCCATCCACAACACTCATCAGCTGATTGATGTTTCACTTTTGACTTTCCCCACTTAACATGACAGCTCCACAGGACTGACATATTTATATCTTATGCTATCCACCACTATATGGCCCCCAAAGCTAAACAGCTTGACCTATTGAAGGTGCTTCATAAACATTTAATGCATTTATAAAGAAATGAACCCACCTACTCCTGAATCTACAGGTGCTGTGCTAACAACTTCGACAGCTGTCTCCAGCTCCATGTCCGATCCCTAACTGTCCCCTTGATGCTGCCCCCTGGATATACCACAGCCCTACCAAGCCTAGACATGCCAATGGGACATTTCACCTTCTCAAGCTGCCCCTTCTCTCAGATCCCCATTTCGGTGACAGTAGCACCACCTCCCTCAGTCTCCCGGGTCAGAGAACCCTGTGCCTCGTCCTGACCCTCAAATCCCTCACCCTCATGTTCTGTCTTTTCTGCTTTCAGTCTCCTTGCCCCCACTGCCACTGAGGCACAGAATGAGATGTGATTCTCCTAGGGTCACAGGAGATTCTCCCGGGATCATAAGAGAGCCCAGCGGAACCATCACACAGTAACAAACACACGAGTCCCTCCCTTCACACAAATACCAACATGCTGACAGAGCCCTTTTGCAGACATTATGTCACCACAACACCACACTAACCCTGGGCTTGAGTCTCATTATTCCCAAAGGACAGATAAGAAAACAGGTTCAGAGAAATGAAACAATTTGCCTGAGGTCAAAGAGTGAGTAACAGGGAGAACTAGGGGCTTGAATGCAGTTCTCAAGACTAAGCCATCAGCAACCTGTATCTCCCTCAGTTTAAAACATTTGGTCTAGAAAAGCTGTGTAACTTCTCTGGGCCTCAGTGTCCTCATCTGTAGAATGGGAATAATAATAGACTCTAGGTCATGGGGTATTTTAAAGATTCAACGAGTTCATCCACATGACGTGTTTTGGATGGTGACTGGCAGTTGTAACACTGAATAAATGTTAGCTGACATTATTATTATTGTGTTAGGGAATCATGAAATATTTAAACTCCTAAAATCAACCAGAATTTTGTAGATCTGTGTATTTTTTCCTGGAATGAGAATCCTCAGCTTCTCTCCTATTCTCAAAAGGATTTGTGACCCAAAACTTTTTCAGAAATACTGCACAAGAGAGACGAAGGATATGTTCAGTATCAAACATAATCACATAAGCCTTGCCCCCAGCATACCTCCCCAAACACCTCAGAAATAAGGAATATGGCCCAAACCAAGAAAACCGGGCCCTAGTTAGCTCAGTTAGTTGGAGCATCATCCCGATACACCAAGGTTGTGGGTTCAATCGCCAGTCAGGGTACATACAAGAATCAACCAACGAGCCCTAGCTGGTATGGTTCAGTGGATTGAGCATTAACCTGCAAACCAAAAGGGTTACAGGTTCAATTCCCAATCGGAGCACATGCCTGGGTTGCAGGCCAGGTTCCCAGTAGGGGGTGCATGAGAGGGAGAGGCAATTGATGTTTCTCTTCCTCTCTGTCTCCCTCCCTTTCCCTCTCTAAAAATGAATAAAATCTTTAAAAAAAAAAAACAACCAATGAGTGCCTAGGTAAGAGGAAAAATTTGATGTTTCTCCAGTATGACAAAGCAGTTATGTGCACCAACACTCAATAGTTGTGGGTTCAAGCAGTTATGTGCACCAACACTCAACAGTTGTGGGTTCAGTGCTAATCAATTAGCACTGCCATTGATTACTGCTAATAACGGCCCCTACACCACGCTGCCCTTGTGAAGAGCAAGATCATGCAAATAAAACACCAAGGCCAGCACCTGGCAAAGAGCAGATGCTTAAAACACACTTAGCTCTCTTCTCCCACCAGTTTCTTATTCCTGACAGGAATAGCCTGTTTGGAATTCTGTAACCATCTCAGGTCAAACCACCCTTTCCTGTTTGCCTCCCTCCAACTTCATAGGACTGTATACTTAAACAGAACCTGACCAGCATTGCACAAATAGTGGTTTAGACTAGCTACTTCACTCGTCCCCTCCATGTGCTAGGTTCCCAATCTTCAAAATGGGGTTGATTGGTTTAGATGATCTCCCGAGACACCTTCGCACCCTGAACAGCTTGACTAGAAGGCAGGATACCAGGAAATGATTCATTCTCTTCCAGCTGAGGATACTGAGGCCCAGAAAGTAGAAGCAACCTACCCGGCCACACGCTAATTCCTGTGACCATCCCTGGCCTAATCCTTGGATCACTTTTCTCCTCTGGCAACCACAGTGCCCTTTTTCCAGGTAAGGAAGCTGAGGCCCAGAGGGAAAATGCTTCAACCCAATGCCACCTGGTCGGAAGGAGACAGCGGAAGGGCAGGATCACCTGGAGCACCACAGAGATAGTCCTCTCGCCTGCCTTGGCTGCCCTCCATTTTCGGTAAGTGTCCGCCTTGAGAAGATTTTCTGCACAATGGGTCTGGAGATAAGACGGGAAAGGGAAAGTTAGGGTACCGAGATGAGAGTTAGGTCCCCTGCTCTCAGATTATTCCTTTGAGTCCTCCCAAACTCTCTGCGATCTCCCAGATTTAAGTGTTCCCCTTTCCCGCCCCGCCCCCCGCCTTGAGTCCCCTACAACACTTTCCCCTGGAAGTTCACCTATGAGCTCTCCAAGGAAGCTCCCCTATTCCTCCTTTCTCTGCAGCACTTCCATAGATTCCCGGAAGTGCCCTCATTTCACATCTCTCTCAAAATTCCCTTATAACCTGGAAATGCCCCCATGACCCCCTCCTTACTCCTTAGACTTCCATGAAGTTCCCTTTTACAATCCATAAGTTCTCGTGGGGGCCACTCACGAATCCCTTTACGTCTTCCAACCTCCCCCACGCCAGGCTCTCACCGAGTCCTGGCTACTGCAGGACACCACATGGCGGAGGCGGATTTCCGGCATGTCAACGTCGTGGGACGCGCGGGACCCAAAAGATGAAGCAGGGTCCGACTTGGGGGTCGGGACCCGGAGGCTCCCAGCGCGCGCTGAAGTGCGCACGCGCGCGAGGCTCGGGCCTTTCAAACCGCGGCGCGCCGGCACTGGCGTCAACTCCGCGCAAGCCCAGTCGTGTCTCTCCCGAGGGAGGCGCAGAGTTCCCTAGCAACAAGCTTTCTCTCTAGACCCTCCTCCACGTGAGGTTTACGCCTTGTCTTCGGGAGGGGGGAGAGGGCTAACAACAGGAGCGCTCTCAGGATTGGTCCCTAGGAGAAATTCGCCATTCTCATTGGACGAGACAGTCACCGCCCAAACTGGAGCCTAGAAAGCTAAACGCATGCAAGTCCGAGTGGATTTTTGCCGAGAACCTGGAGCCGACCGCTGCAGGATCCACTCCACTGGTTGTGCAGCTACACTCTTCCCGCTCCAGGTTCCTCACCACACACACATCGTCCGGGAGGCAACCTATCGATGTTTCTCTTCCAAATCTCTCCCTCTCTCTCTCTCTCTCTCTCTCTCTCTCTCTCTCTCTCTCTCTCATCAATAAACATATCTTCGGATGAGGATTAAAAAAAATCTCAGATCTCTGTCAGGGTTTTTCCTGAGGCCAGGAGAGAGTGGGTCAAAAACCTAAATAAAACACACAGCAGGAGCCCAAACCAGACACACACACCCAGCCTAGAGTGCCTCCACCCACGCCTCAGTTTCCCAATGGAACCTGAGCGCATCTATCTCCTTCCTGCCTCGTCCATCCCTACGGGTTGACAGGCACTCCCTCTGTTAGGTCCCCGCGAGACCCAGAGGTACAGCTCCACGGGGGTAGGATATGGAGCCGGCCCGGACACAGAACAGGGAGTATGAGCCAAGCCCGTGCAGAGGAAGACAAGGCTCGCAGGCAGAGCGAGCCTGGACATGCTGGGCGCTCCCAGGTAGGGCCACACCCACACAGGTGCCTCCTTGGGAAGAGACAGGAGAAGGGGTGTCAGTCTTTGTAGCCTCTCTACCCCTACATGGAATTAGGTGACCTGGCCTTGACCTTAGGCTTCAGGCCAGAAAAAAAGGGGGAGGGGAGGGGAATGTGAAAAAACAAGAAAGTGCCCTTCTGTGTCCTGATGGAAGAGGCGACTGGAAGGCTAGACTCCTGGGGTCCCTGTGGAGGAGGGGGCTGGGTACAAGACGCCCTTGTCCCTTTTGGATTCTGGTCCCACCTCCCCAACCCAGAGCCGCAGAGGCCTGCCCAGGAGATCTTACCTCAGCTATTTCTCACCCCAGGGTGAAGGTGGGTCCAGACCCGCCCCTCCTCAGCTTCCTATAAGTGCTGGGAAGCAGGGACGGCTGGGCCACACACCATGAGGCCCTCCGTGACACTGAGGACCTTCCTGCTGGCTCTCGCACTGCTGTGCACCCTGCTGGGTCTGGGTAAGTGACCAGAGGCTTGGACTCCTGGGATTCTCAGGAAAGAGAGGACTAGGAGAGAGCATTCAGCAAGGTCCTCCAGAAGGAAAGAGGAGGTGTCCTGGGAATTCAGGTTCATGATGAAGGCACAGGCTAAAGGAAGAGAAAGACTGGGACCCCAAGAGAGGTAAAGCTCAAAGGCTGTTGTGATTGGATTTCTGAGAAAGGAAGGAAGGGACAGGGTGGGCTATGAATCCTCTGTCCCCCAGGAGGGGTCTCAAAATAAGATATTTGGATTCTAGGAAATGAGGGCATGACTACAAAGGGACGTCTTTAAAAAATAAAACAAGACACTGGAGGGGATAGGTCTGTTTTCCTGGACTCTCGAGAGTTCAAGTCCCCGGGCCCTCCTCCCTTAGAGGTAGGAGTTCAGGCAAGGCCTCCTTCCCCAGGTCCCAGGGGTCTGGGCCCCCAGCTGCCCCATCTGTCAGGATGAAGGGGTCCATGCCCTCAGCCCTCTGGTCCTCGCTCTTCCTTCCTGAACAGGGGTGCAGACCCCTGCCTGAGCTCCTATTGTCTACAAGACCTGCATGCACACAGCTCCTCCAAAGAGGGTCCCACACCCAAGAACCAGCTGGAAACTTCACAAAAGTCCATGGAAACCTCCCCCAGGACCCCTCCCTGTCCCCGAGCTTTCTCTGAGGACCCGAGCGTCCAAAGTTCCCAGCCTTGTAATTAGGTGAACAGGCTCGTGGTAGAGTCGCTTCCCGCCCCAGGAAGCAGCTTTGCTGGCATCACTAGCGCGTCCCTGGTAGAGCGCTGGACAGCTCCCTGGAGAGCGGTCAGCGCCCCGCCCAGGAAAGGGGAGACTCGCGTCCCTCCTCCCGTAGACCCCAAAAGTCCGCCCCTGCCCGCGACGGTGTCTCCGGGATCCCTAGCCCACACCATCCGGGACCACAGCCTGGCCCTCCCTCTGCCCTGCAGGGCGCCCGCTAAGCTGCGAAGTGTGCAGGGGCTCTGGTCCCACATGCCGCGGAAAAATGAAGACCTGCGAGGCCGGCAAGGACGCCTGCGTGGTCATCGTGGGGGAGTCCAGCACCAGTAAGAGCGCGGAGCGTCAGCCCCAGGGAGGCGGTTGGGGCGGGCAGGGACCATCGCGGTGGTGAGCGGACAGGGGAGAGGAGGACTGTCTGGAGGTGGATGGAGGGACGTGAATCCAGTGGAGCTATGGAAATCCTTGTTGTCAGGGATTTCTGAAAGAGACTCTCCAAAAGAGAAGGTGGGGGTGGGAGGCAGATACGGGGGCTTCTTCAGGCAGGAGGAGGCGAGGAAAGGACAGGACGGGGCAGCAAGTAGTGAGAGGGGAAGAATCTAATGGGCGTTGGGAGGTGGGAGGCGGATGGAGGACAAGGAAGGGGCGGGGTGGGCTGGGAGTAATGTAACCAGCCAGGGCCTTGCGGGTGGGAAGGAGAAACGGACTACCCCAGGGATCAAGGGGATAGTGCGGGCTGGAAGAGACCTCTCCCACCGGAGAAGGAGGAGGGATGATGTTGGGGTAGCAGGAGAGAAATAAAGGGACAGGGAAGATAATCCCGGAGCAGGCGGAGAAGTAGAGATGGGGTGGAGGGAAGGCTGGTGAGCAGGATGGATAAGAGGGGAAGGCCTAAATGGCAGGGAACATCCCAGGCCTGAGACAGAATGGGGGAGATGGGGAGCAATGGGAGAGAACAGAAGGGGCGGTGGGGGGCGATATGGGGTGCCGTGTGCAAACGAAAGGCTGTGACAGCAGGTGGAGGGCAACGTGGAAGGTAGGAACGATCCGGCTGGAGGGGGCGTGTCAGGAAGGTGAGAGAGCTTGCAGGCTGCCCTACTCACCTATCCGGCATTGGCAGGCGGGGGAAGGGCCGGAAAGGCTTGAAGAGACACCCACCTCCCATGTGGGAAGGAGATGCACACCCTGGGGCAGGGGGAGGAGAGGAAATTATGGGGCGGGAGCCCATTGGTGGGGTGACAAAGGGAGACCTTTCAGTTGGGTTGGAAGAGGCCACATGTGGGGAGGAGGGAAGGCGGTGGAGACCCGAAGAGACCACTTACGGCAAGACCTGGGGGTAGCAGAGAGGGTGGCAGTGGGCCGATGGGTCGCAGGTCTGGGAGAGACCGTGGGGAACTCTGGGAGAGACCACCTAGACAGACTGGGAGTGCTGCAGGGTGGCAGTGTGAGGGCCGGGTCTGTGGGAAGTGACCCCCTCACCTAGGAAGGCTGGAAGCCAGCATCTCACACAGCTGCAGGGCAGCCACAGGTGACCTGGGAAAGACCACAGTCCACAGGACCTTTAGAGGGTGGCTGTGATGTGGCCATGGGGTGGAAGGGGCAGTGTTAGGCAGGCCCAGCTTGGCAATGGGGAACAGCAAGTGACCACCACAGGCTGACCAGGGGCTAGGGCAGTGAGGTGAGGGGTGAGGGGAGCTACCTAATCTACCAGACTGCAGTCTACCAGACTGCACCCCAGGCAGATAAGGGGGTACAGTTTCAGGAGGGGTGGAAGAGGCTGTCCTAGAGAGTCATGGGGTGGGGGAGCTGGCGGGGAGAGACCCCAGGTGGGGCCCCCAGAACCCAGCCCCCTCCCCCGGCCCCACCCTGCAGAGGGCCACCACTCCGTGAACACCTACAAGGCCTGCATGAAGTTCAGCGACTGCTACTCGGGCTTCGTGTCCACCACCATGGGCCCCAGGGACTACATGGTGTCCAACACGAACTGCTGCCAGAGCGACGGCTGCAACCGCGGCTCCGTGCCCCGTAAGTGCCCACACAGCCCAGCATGGAGGGGGGGCCCTTCCAGCCCACCCCCTGTCTGTGCGCGGGAACGCTGGGCAGGCACCCTGCCCGCTGAGCCTCAGTTCCCACTCCTGTAAATGCAGTGCCCACTATCAGCCACTGCCTCCCAGGGTTCCAGTAAGTTTGGGGGAAGAATCTAACATCTCTTTGCACCTTATACCCCACCCTCATGCCCAGCTCCCCAGAACAATCGCACTGAGAATGGCCTCCTGTGTCCTTCCTGCATCGTGCCCTTCCACGAGACGTGCCCGGGGACCCAGGTGGCCCGCTGTGTTGGCCAGGAAACCCACTGCATCTACTTCGCTGGCAACGTGCAGGCTGGTGAGGGGATCCTGGATCTCTGGAGGAGGGCACAGGGACCCCAGAACTGGAAGCCCATGCTTGCAGGTTCTAGGGGAGATGGTGGCCCCAAAGGCCTGGGTGAGGAGGTAGCAGGATCAAGATCCTTAGGTCACAAGGAAGGAGGGGTTGGGGGCTCCGAGTCCATTCTGAAATTCCCCTCCCAGGTATCATCAACACCAAGTTTGCCACCCGAGGCTGTGCGACAGAGACTGCCTGCAACACCAAGCCCGGGGCCGAGGTGCCCTCAGCCTCCTACCTCTACTTCCTGCGCCGAGCAGACTGCCTTCCCGCCCCCCAGCCCCCTGGCAGAGCCGAGTGAGGAACTGAGGAACCTGCGGCTCGAGTTCCCGTTTGTCCTCAGCCTGCAGCTCCCTGTGTGCCTATAAAGCAAGCAGATTAACCATGCAAGTCTGGCAAGTCTTTGTGATGTGATGCATCTCGGGGGGGTGGGTTGTAGGAAGCTGGAGGCTCAACCTTAGGGAACCCCCTCTTTGCAAGGAAGAGAGGGAAAAACCTACCTTAAAAAATGATTTTATTTATTTATTTTTAGAGAGAGGGGAAGGGAGGGAAACATCAATTGGCTGCCTCTTGCATGCACCCCAACCAGGGACAGAGGGAACCTGCAGCCCAGGCATGTGCCCTGACCTGAATGAATCAAACTGGGGACCTTTTGAGTTTGGGACAACGCCCAACCAACTGAACCACACCAGTCAGAGCTCATTAAGGGATTACTCCCTGCTGGGCCCCTGTCTAAATGTTTTCTGTGCTGTACTTCATTTTTCATAATTACAGCAGCTCCGAAGTTGCTATTAGTATCCCCATTTCACAGGTGGACGAACTGAAGTACACACGGTGATGTCATTTGCCTTGGGGCAAACCGCTGGGGGGGGGGGGTCAGAGGCCAGAGGCTGTGATTGCTGCTCCTGAGTCACCTCCCCTTTTTTTGCCTCAGTTTTCCTGTCAGCAATAGTAACAAACTCATAGAGTTGTTGTAAGAGTCAAATGAAAGAAAACTAAAAAAGTGCTTATGCAGTGCCTACCACCTTTAAGATAGTGGTGATTGTAGAGACAACAGTCTGAGTAAATAGTCATCACTGTAATAGGTGCCACTTAGTGAAACGGCCATTAGTTGGCAGGTGCTAAACATTGTTCTGGATCGGGACAGACTAGATTATGCTACAGTAACAAAGAAGTCCCTGATCTCAGTGGTTTACAACAACAAAGTTGTATTAGTCAACTCACAGCAATAATACTGTGTAACAAAGCATTTCAAAACAGACTTATAACAACAAGCATTCTTCTTAAGCATTTGTGGGTGGCCAGGGTGGCTCTGCTTCTGGTCATGGATTGGCTCGATTTGGCTCTCGTGTTGGAAGGAGGACTCAAGTTTTGAGGGCTGCACAGTCTCCTGGGATCAGTGGCTCCGTGGCAGATCACAGGAGCCCAAGAGCCAAGTGCACTGAAGGCCCTCGCGGAGGTCAGGGCTGCTAATGTTCCACTGAGTAAAGCAAATCACCCGGTCAAAGCCAGCATTTGGGAGCAGGGAAGTTTCCTCCCCCTCCAGTGGGAGGAAGAGGAATGGTATTCACTAAACAAGTCACCACAGGCTGATTCTTCTTTCACCCCGGTCCCACACGTCTGGCACTGTCCACAGGTGTTCTGTTCATCACCAGCATGAGCCGCCGCTGACCGAACACTGCCCGTTTCTGTGCACAGGACAGTCTCACCTGGGTGACTACATGCTGTGGCTCAGAAGTGACTTAACACAACTCATTGAATGGAGCTGGCCACGTGGCCCCACCAAACAGCATGTGGACCAGGAAGTGCCACTCTGCCCTGAGGCAGCGACAAGTTTCATGAGCAGCATGCATGGCCACCGTGGCCTCTTAGGGGCACTTCCTCATTTTGTCTTCACGGATCCATGTGATGGGCTCCAGTATTCCCATTCCTGTTTTCAGGGAGAGAAACTAGGCTCAGAGAAGGGATGTCACACTGAAGGTCACACAGCTAAAAGTGGCAGCACTTAAGATTGTATTTATTGTGTTGTGTTGAGGGGGAAGAGAGACCACATCACAGAGAGAGGGAACAAGCCTGTATTAGTTACCTTTTGCCACATGACCAACCACCTTAGTGGCTTAGAACTATCACCTTTGATTTTGCTCATGATTCTATGAGTCAGCAGTTCAGTCTTGGATCAGCTGAATGGTTCTTCTGCAGGTCCCTGCTGGGTCCGGTTGCCGTCAGTTGGGTGGCCATGTTTCAGAGGGCTGGCTGGCTGCAGGCTAGGGTGTCAAAGCTGACTGGGCCACATCTCTTTATTGCCCAGCAGATTACCTGGGGCACCGCTTGACATGGCAGCGGTGGCAGGGGTCCCCAGAAGCCCCAGTGCACGAGCGCTTCCCAAGCCTCCGCTTGCCACCGTGTTTCCTGTTGTCCCAGTGGCCCAGCAGACCGCATGGCCAGGTCTAGGGTCAGAATGACAAGGGCCGTCTAATGGCATGGCTACAGAGAGGCTGAACAAGTTGGAGCCATTAATGCGCCCAGCTGCTTCCAGATCAAACATGGTTTACCATCACAAGGCCCCAAGGTCAAAACAGTCACTGGTCCACCCCAACCCCCAGGGAGGCAAAACGCCAATACAGATAAAGTCTCTTGATTCCAGCCCAAGGAAGTCTTTCTTATACAGAAGCCCCCCTGTCCTTCCCCTCCCAAGACTCAGGAGTCCCCACCCTTGGCCCCCTCCTCCCTCGGAACCAGGAGTCCAGGCCCCCAGTCCCCCTCCCTTGGACCCAGGAGGCCGGGCTTTCAGCTCCAGTTAAAATCCCAACTATCTTTTTTCCCCTTCAAATCCCAAAAGAAGAGACACAGAATGACATTTCTACTCACTTTTATTCACTCCTCCAAACAGCAACGCAGGCCAGCCACACCCTTGATTCGTCCTTTTATGGTTCTCCACCTCAGTGGACACAAGTCCCTCTATCATTATGCAGAAATGCAGGAAACTCGGCTCGGATGATGAGATGTCTCATCGCTCCAGTTCTTTGTGCCTGTTCTGTTTCTGACCAATGGCGATGCCAAGATTCATCATACACTTCCTTGGATTCTTGCCTTTGAGGGTCTTCCAGCCTGGAGGTGCATGCAGACACACCCTAATGGCAGCCAATGATCTGTCCAAAAGGGAGACTCAGTGTTTTCTACTTGGATGCTCCCACAGACAAGTGCCTCACTAGCAACCTTATGGCTCCACAAAGTCTAAAAGTCAATGCCATCAAAAGTCATGACTTAAAAGACAACCACTCGAAAAGGTAGCTGTGACACACACAAGTGCCAATGCACAGTTATATACAGTAAGACAATCAGCACTCCCAACAGCAGAGACGCATGCAAACAAAACCGGGGCGGGGCTTGCTTTCCCAGGTCCCATCTCTGGCATGAACCCCACTGGCATAAGGGCAGAGGGAATGGGGAGCAGGGGAGTGAGGTCAGACAGGACCAAATCAGAGGAGGTGTCAACACGGCAAAGAGGAGGGCATTCTGTGAGCAAAGACGCCCAGACTGGAGCTGTCTTGGTGCTGCCTGGGGCTGAGGGCGTGTGGGCAAGGGCACGCACGCTACCTCTCAAGCTCCCAGTACGCCAGGCTTCTCAGGAGGGGCTGCAGTGTGTACCTGGGTACATACACTGAATTCTCACAGTAACCCTGTGAGGTAGATACCATTTGCCGGGTGACTAGCCCAAGGTCACCCCAAAGTCAGCAGGACTGTCTGACCCTAGTGCTGTACTGATCGAATTTCATTCCCCTGAGGCTGAAAGCTTTCGCAATTCCTGGAACCATTCAGTGGAGCCAAATGCTTTCTCCCATGTTGGCCATCTCTGCTTAGATAGTTCAAGGTGGGGATGGGTAGCCAGCCCCCTGCCCCCTGTGTCTGTGCCTCAGTTCAGTCACCCTTGCCTGCAGCTGTCACAGGAAATCTCACAGAAGAGAAAATAAGGCACTGGTCCAAGTCACCCAGGGTGACGATGGCAAAGCTGTGCTTGCTTTCCAGGCCCATCACCTCTCCGACAGGCACTATGTCTGCCATTAGATGCTTGTTTCTCCCCTCGTCTCAATTTTTTTCCCTGTTGTGTGGCAAGAGGCTGACAATCTACATGTCAGCCCTAGTTCTGCCACTGGCAATGAAATAAAATATTTACAGAGCACCTACTGTGTGTCAATTACCATTCTAGGTGCTGGGGTTATAGTAGAGACCAAGAGAGACAAGGGGATAATAGCCGATAAATAGGTAAATAAATAAATAATTCTCTATAGTCATAATTGCTACAAGGAAAATTAATCTGCTGGGATGAATGGTGGGGCGGGGGGCGGGCACGGCAGGAGGTATGAGCTACCAAAGTTAGAGTGCTCAGGGAAGGCCTCTCTGAGGGAACATCTGAATTGAGACCCGACAGAATGAGCCACTCATGGAAATGGTGGTGGGCAGAGAGCATTCTAGGCAGCATGAACAGGAAGTGCAAAGGTCCTGAGGCAGGACCCAAGGTGGCCCACTCAAGCATCGGAAGGAAGACCCAGCAAGCTGGTTGGGGTATGGGATGGAGCAGAGGATGAGAACAGGCAGGGGCCAGACCATATAGGGCCTTGCTGTGTGCTGTTGGGCCTAGAGCCTGCCCTCTCTGGACTCTGTTCTCCTCAACCATCATAAAAGGGATTCTGCTGGATGGCCTCTCAGCCCCCCGCCCCCTTTCTGTTTTTGACACCAAAGAATTCTGTGTCCTATGCCTGTGCCTCTGCACGCAGGCAGCAGCCTAGAACTTCCCAGGCACTGTGGTTTCTGCCTTTCCCTTGTGGCACGTGGCACGTTCCCACAGGCAGGAACACCCGCCCCACTGTCCGTTGGGTCCCTTGCTCACTGCAGCCTCTGTGTACACCACAAGGCAGTGCTTTCTGAGCACGCCCATGGGAGCCAACACAGAAACACTGGGATTAGTGCAGCCGTACAGCTGCTTCTCCAGAAAGGCAGGTATACAAAAGTATCAGGGCTGGAAAGGGTTCAGGTTTAATGACAGAAGAAACCAAGTCCAAAAGTAGAAACCGCTAAAGGGGCGCAGTAGAGGGAATAGACTCCCCAGAGAGCTCCTCAGCACCTATGACATGGGAGCAATCAGTCACAGAGAGAAGGGCAGTTTCCAGGACCGAAATCCATTAGGGATTTGCAGGAGATACCTCTGAGCTATGGGTTCCTGCCCTTCCATACCCAGACGGTCTCACTCCTGGTGTCTGGCTGCCCCCGGGGCCCGCCATGCCCCCCTTGCCTCCTCCCCTCATTTCTGTGTGGCCATCCTCCCCACTACAGCAGGGAAATGGGTCTTTGTCACCAGGTTCCCCCCACTAGGAGCAAATATTAAACATCTTTATACTCCCCAAGACACCAAAAAGATTTCTAGCTCTGTTGCAGCCACCCGTTCCCTCCTCTAGAAGCAGACTGCCCACCACCCAGGAATTAGGAACCAAGGCCCACAGCCCTCTTGGGAGCCAGGAGCCTGAGACCCCAGAGAGTGCCCTGTCTCCCCCTACCCACGTGAACATTCAAAGCCCACCACCTCCTGAGGAACTGAGAGGCTGTGTGCAGATCTTTTCCCCCTAGAAAACCTAGACCCCTATCCTATCCCTAACCTTTTGTGGCTCATAAGTCCAAGAGTTCCATCTCCCTGGAGCACCCAGCACAAGGAAGACGTTCACCATCAGGAATCAGGGCTTTGAACCCTGCCCCCCCCCCCATCCCCGGACGACCAGATGTCCATTATACACACTTTCTACTCCCCTGGCAACTAAAATATATCCCCTTCTAAAAGTCCAACCCCTCAACTCCCTTCAAGACACAAGTCTGGGGGTGCTGCCCTGTGATCCCACAGAAATCAGGAGTCCTGACCCCGAGGTTCTATACCCCTTCAAAACCCAGGAACCTAGACGACTAGAAGTCTCATCCCCCTTAGGCACCCAGGATTTAGAGTGGCAACACACCTGCTCTGTTATCTCAAAGACCCACACATCCTATGCCAGAGTCTGGACCCCTCAACCCCGTTCCTCTAAACAGGACGTGAAGTCCTCAACCCCTGGCGCAGCCAAGCAGCCAGCATGCAGAGCACCCTGGAAGCCCTGGCCCTCACCCCACCCCTCACTGCGCAGGCGCATGGGGTGCCAGCACCGCCTCTGCATCTGCCAGCATCTCGTCCAGCGCCTGCAGCAGGACGCCGTGCGCCGCGCGGTAGCCAAGGCCACCGGTGGCCGCTGCACCACCCGCAGGCCACAGGAAGGAGAGCGCACCCAGAGCTGCGCCCCCTGCGGTGCCCTCCCCGGCCCACGCACCTAGCCTCGCCTCCACTTCTGCGCGTGTCACTGGGCCAGGGAAGCGCGTCCGCTCCGCGAGTTCCCCAGGGGCCAGGCCCAGAGCACGCTCGCGTCGGGCCAGCGCTGCGGGTTCGAGTCCCAGTGCCCGCCGCCACTCTGCCAGCTGACCGCGTAGAAGTGCCACATCACAGGCCCAGCCAAGCCCAGGTACTGGTGCGGCCGCTGCCGCCAGGCTAGCTAGCAGAGCCGGGCGCCAAGCCCCAGCCCGGAGCGCGGCAGCCTTGATTCGGGCTGCACGCGGGGACGTGGGAGGCAGCGCCAGCAGCAGCGCCCCTGCCTGGGCTGGGGGAAGCGCGCGCCGCAGCCATGCGCAAAGCCCTGGGAGTCCGCCTCGCCGCAGGGGGAACACCGGCGGCGGCGCCTCCTCCAGCACCTCCCAGGTCTCGTCCTCCGGGCTCCAGGCAGCCACACGCCCAGTGTCCCCCCTGCCAGACTGCTGCGCATCTGCGCCAACCTGCTGCAAACCCTCCCTGCCTGCTTTCTCTGAAACTCCCCCATCGCCTGCTTTTTGAGATCCATTGACATGTTTCTCCAACCCCTCTCCGCCTGCGTTCTCCAAGCTCTCGCTGCCGAGGGACTTCTCTGCTTTTTCCTCTTCCAGAGACTCCGGATCTTCACCCTCGCCATCTGTTCGCACGCAGACCAGCGGGGCATCCGGTAGCACCAAGGGCCGGACCTGGGCCCAGTCCTCCTCAGTGGGGGCCCCAGGGGTGACGAGGATGAGGGCGTCGTAGTGGGTTGGGTGGCGGGCGGCAGCGCTGCCCCCAGAGCCCAGAGGCACGGTCCAGAGCACCACATTGGGGCGCTCTGGAGCAGGGTAGGGCGTGGGGCCCGCAGGCGCCACCAAAGCAGGCACAGCACCTGGGTCCCCAGGATCCAACCCGAGCAACACGTCCAGCACAAGTCCCATGTCAGCGGCGCCAGCTATGGCTAGGTCCAGCCGCGCGCTGCCCAGTCGCTCCAGGCCAGCACGAACCCAGGACATCGCTGCCTCCAGGCCACCGGTCTCAAAGGCCTCACGCACAGCCTCCAGCTCAGCTGCTCCCAGTACCTCGAAGCCATCCTGAGCCGGTGGCAGGAGCCTGCAGGGACAGGAAGGGATGGGGTCAAAGGCAGAAGAAAGGCTAAAGGCCCGAGAGCTGAGCTAGGGGGACCGGGTTGGGCTATGACAACAAGGGTGGAGCTTTCTGAATAATCCTTAGTAAGGCAGGAGCAGGAAAGGGGGAGGGCCGGCTGGTGGCCCAGCAAATAGAAACCAGGGCTATGAATAAAGGGGAGAAACTTAAAGCAAGGATAGGGCAGCTTGAATGAGGTTAGAGCCTAGAACCACACCTAGCTTGTTTTCCCAGGAATAGTCTGTGTGGGCGAGGAGGCTGTTCCCGGGAATCTGCTAGGTTAAGAAAAGGCCGTTCTGGGTGGGGCAAAACAGAGGGTGGGGCCTGGAGCAAAGACAGAACCACAAATGTATTGTAGACTACATGAAAGGCCTGCATTATTCACTATTCAACGTGGGCAAGGTCAGCAAGAGGGCTTTTTTCTGACACTGGATGTAGGGAGAGGAGTAGAGATGGGGGGAAAAGCCTCATCTACTAGTTCTTCCCAGGGGGACGTGGCTAAGGAAAACAGAGAGCAGTGGACCTGGAGGAGAAACTGCGGCTCTCCAAGCCTCATTTTGGCGTCTATGAAATGTGGCGCCTGGGAGTTGGGGGTGAAAATTCAGGACATAGCCAGCAAGTGGGCACAAAAACAAGAGGAGATGAGAGAAAGGCAGTGGGGGAGGGCACCCAGAAATAACGAAGCTCACCAAGGGTGAAAAGGGCGACTGGGGTCACTTGACAACCAAGCTGATGAGACTACAAGTTTTCAGGTTAAAACATTCGTGAGGATCACAAGCTTGTGTGACAGGGTGAACCCTTCTCCGAACTTTTGCCTGGGGGCAGTATTTGGGTGATAGGTCCCAGCCTCTTCTAGAACTCTCTTTAAGGAGTGGGGTTTGTGACTTCAGAGCACTCAAGGAGACAGGACCTGGATGACAGGTCAGTACCTCCAGCTGACCCCTGGCTAGTGCGGGGCCTAGATGACAGAATACGGTCAAGCACAGATGGCTTGCTTGGTTGGAGCAACACTGACCTCAAAATCTGCTCTGAGGGGTGGGACTGGATTTAGGAGCATGGCCTCCAGTAGATATCCCATTAAGGTTTGCCCTAAATTCACTGGGGGCGGAAGACCTTAAACAACCTGCGGGCGAGGTCTAGACAAAGGGCCAGCCCTCCCTAACCGGCCCTGAAACGAGCAGCTCACCTCTGCAACGCCTCCGCCTGGCTCCGCAACGCCGCCCGCAGGCGCTCCAGTTCCTCGCAGCCCTCTTTGCTGCTGCAGTCCTCGGGCAGCACATAGAGAGGCACAGCTCCCAACCCCGCACTTTCCAGCAGGGTCACAGTCTGATCTCGGGCCTGGGCTTCATTTTGTGAATCCCCAGGACGGAGGTTCCGCACAGCCAGCAACGGGGTTCCTCGGGCCAGTGCGGCTCGCGCTGCGTCCCCTAGCGCTGGTGCCAAGGGTTCATCGTTCCCTTTGGGGCCGGGCAGCACCAGGACTAGCACGTTAGCCTCCGCTGCCCAGGGACCCGGTGCTGCTGGTGGGCAGCTCAGCTCGCCCAGGAAGAGGCCTGGGCCCGCAGCTCGCAGGCTGGGGATCCCGGAGTCTGGCCGTCCATCGGGGATCTCTACCACCTCCACATCCTTGTTGCACAGAGCTGCAATCAGTGAGGACTTTCCCGAGCCGGGAGGCCCCAGGAACAAGGCGGTCACGTCACCCCGCGGTGGAGGCATAGCTGCAAAGCAAGAGATGGGGAAGCCTGACGTCAGAGAGCACCTAGTCGTTTTATTTCCTAGTCTTTCCACTCTCGTCCTAGATTTCGGTCCTCCACCCTGTCTCCTTCCATTCCCGGGTGTCACTCCCAGGGACCTAGAAATCTGGTGCCTAGACCCTATTCCCCAGGGCCCCGGAGTCCTGGCCAGTCCTCTTTATGGATGCGTTTCCCTTTCTGCTTCAAAAACTGAGAAACTCGGCTTCCAACCACCTCCTCCCTCAGGGACGCACTTGTTTTTACCCGCACCCCTCCTCCAAATTACCAACCGAGCAAAGAGCCGGTACACGGGAGGGTACTGTTGCTAGTGGCTCGTCCGCCTCCGAGAAGCTCCGCCCCTGGAGTCGGCAGACGGAGGCCGAAGAGGATGGAGCACCGGGATTTGGGGACCACCAGACGCGTTCCCGGAGCTCTAACCTGACGTCACTCTTTTTAGAAGGGGGTGTGTCTAGGAAGCGTGATCGCAGGGACTCAGCCCTCCGTAGCGCCTGCGCAGAACGGTCCCGGGGAACTCACTCTCCAACTCTGGCCGCCGCAGGACCTTGAACAATGAAGCGAGAGCGCCTGCGCACGGGGAGCGCCTACACTTCTGCGCCGTAAACTTAGACTGGTACGGCTCGAGACGTCATCATAACGCGCCCCTGTGCAGAGAAGGACGCCCTCCGTTATTTTCAGGACTGAGTGGGCACGACTGTGTAACTGCCGGACGGCAGTTCCGGAGCTCGGCTTCAAGAGGCTCATCAGGAGAAAGGGCGTGGAAACCACCGGGATCTTGAGACCCGGTGGGCCCTACCCTGCTTCCCTCCGGGTGACGAGCAACTGACAGGCGCAACGAAAGGCAGCCTTCTGCCGCTTGGAAAAAAAGCGGAGACCTGGGCTACCCTCCTGGAGAAGGGAGAGCCGAAGTCGATGCTGAGACAGCCAGACCTGCTTGAGGGGAAGCTGCTGAAAGTGCGCGTGGGAGGCGGGGGTTCTGGGTGGAACAAGAGTTACAGGGTGTCAGAGAACGCTGTCTTCCCAGGAAGAGGCGGGCTAAAACATGGGTACCATTACCTGCTCCAAGACACGTGGGAGAGACGGGAACGAGGATGGTCTCAAAGATCAAGGGTTCCGCACTCTTGAGTTCAGAGAGCTAGTTTAATGTAGGTCTTAGATCTCACACAGGTGAGACGGCTCTAAGGAGAGTCACAAACCCAGGGAGTCGAATCTTTTGGGAGGGTTGAAGTTTCTCTGGTAAGAGCTCCATTGGATTAGAGTTCAGGGACATGGTATCTCGGAGGGTCAAAGACTGGCAAAGACAGCCTCTGTGTCAAAGCGGGCTCTCTAAGGCTGGCGACAGATGAATGACTAAGTTTGATTTACTATTTTATCATGTAGGCACTTCTCTTGACCAGAGGGATCCCTAGTCACCATAGAGGACCCGCTTCCTAAGGAGACCAGGAGCAGCAGGATTCTTCCAAAGAGAGGAGTCCTTGCGGTACAGGAGTTGACATCTGTGAGTACAGCTGGCTGGAGGGTGTGGTCAGGAACCGATGCTAAAAGGATTTCTATGGCATTTCAGTGTCCAGGGCGCTGCAGGAACTTGCCTGTTGAGGAGCTGCCCTAACAGGAACTGCCACTCCCCATCCTTACCCTGATCACACCCTCAGATGTCCCCACCCTGCTCTGTCCACCTAAATGTGAATGGGTGCAGTTCAGAGGGGCAGAGTGTCATCCGGAGGGGCGTGGGGTGGGAGATGTGGCTGGGAAAGAACAGAAACTGAGAGGAGTCCTAAGGTTCCACTTCCAACTCTGCCCTAGACTTTTGGTGGGACTTGGGCCTTGGTTTCCCTGTGACAAGGGGTTGCCATTACTTACCTCCCAGGGCTGTTATAGGGATTGGCAGCAGAAAAGGGGAAAGCGTGAGGGTAACGAAGGTAGCAACAGCTCCTACTGAACACTCACAATGTGCTAGAACATTAACACCTGTTACCTTATTCAGTCCTCCGAACAGACCCTATGAAATTGGTTGTCACTTTCAGAGGAGGGAGCTGAGGCAAAGACAGATCATGTATTTGTGACAATGACAGCCAGTGTCAGTGTCCTCCAGCCAAAGAACCTCCAGGAACACACTTGTAGTCAACAAATGGGTTTATTGCTCACCGCACTGAGGAAGCACACATACCATAGGGGCACTTCAAGTCATCTCATTAATAGAATTTTTATTTTTAATTTTAGTTTTAGGGGAAGGGAGAAAGAGAGGGAGAGAAACATCAGTGTGTGGTTGGCTCTTGTGCACCTCCTACTGGCAACCTGTCCTGCAAACCAGGCATGTACTGGACTGGGAATCGAACTGGTGACCCTTTGGGTCACAGGCCAGTGCTCAATCCACTGAGCAACACCAGCCAGGGCTGGAGTGTTTTGTACAAAGGACTGATTATAGGATTTGGGTTTGTGGTAGGTGATGTTGGGAAGTGCTCCAGGAACAGGGGTTTTGCTCTGGACTGGATGGTGCCAGGAAGCCTGGCAGCTCTGTGGCTGGCTATCTTAGTAATTCTCATCTAGAAGGCAGGGGAACACAGCAGGCACAAGCTGTGACTGGTACGGCAGCTGCCGTCACTCATATTGGCTAGGACAGGGTGCCTGGTCATTTTTGTGGCTTGGACAATGTTCGTGTTTGTCTGTTCAGATGCTGTCATGGCAGAGTTTTGGTGTCTTGATTCCGTCAGTGTGGCCTTGTCTGATGACACTCTGTGGAATTGTTTATATTCAACAAAATGCCAGAGTCTGCCTGTGAGTGCCAGGCCAGCTCCCGGCTGTGGGGCTGCTTTTCCCTTCCTTTATAGTAATAATTGCAAACCACTGTGTAAAGTATTCTAAGCACTTTCTATAAATCCATTCATTTATTGTTTACAACAGCCCTATCAGGCAGATACTGATACGGTTATGACCCCATTTTCCAGGAAGGAAGCTGTTGTACCTGCCTGGGAAATAGTAGAGCCGATCTGGTGCAGAGGCTGTGCTCTAATCACACAGCTCTCATGGAAGGAGAGACTCCCTGGGTTCCAGTCCTGACTCCATCTCATTTCCTAATCTCATAACTGTGGGTTAGAGAGCACCCTAACTTCTTTGAGTCTCAGTCTGATCATCCATAAAACAGGCCCAGTGATGATCTGTCTGCATTGCTGTCCAGCCCCGGCATACAGTCTGGCACATAATAAGCACTGTTCATTGTTGTCATGATCCTGGGGCATGGGAGGTCCTGGAAACTCTTGCTGGTCTCCCACGGCCCTCAGACCATCTGGGCGCCCTGCAGTGCGCCCGCTGCCTCATCTCTTCGCTAACTCCAAGTTCCAGCAGCATCACATGAAATGGGAGCACCCAGCAAGCACAGCCCAGAAGCTGCAGGGGACCCTCTTCATCTGCTTCACCTGCAGCTGCTCCTTCCTCTTATCCAAGGCCCTGATCACCCACCAGCGCAGCCATGGTCCCACCACCAGGCCCTCCCTGCCGGCTGTACCACCACTGCTCAGCCCACCTTCCTCTGTTCTGACTGGCAGGACCTTTAGGCAGGCCTTCTCTGAGGTGGCACTGCCAGGTGAGTGAGGCCCACACCCCTCCTGGCCTCTGTGCTTGCACAGAGTGTGGGCAGGACCTTGCCCGGGAAGCCGGGCTGCATCTACACTACATCCGGCATGCCCGTGGGGAGCTTGGAGTGCAGCTTCAGCCCTCCCTAGGGCATTGGGGGTTCTATGGCTGGTGGAACCCTCTTCTGATACAGGATGGGCCCTTGGAATTTGCTTTCCTCCCAGGAAAGGCAAAGGGCTATTGAGAAGTAGGGCCCAGAAGATGTTTCTCATTTAGAGCTTCAGTTTTTGGAGAACAGAAAGGCCTTTGGGGAATCAGGGAAACCAGACAATAGTCAGATGTTTTGTTTAAAAAAAAAAAAAAAAAAGAGTAATATCCCTGGCTGGTGTGGCTCAGTGGATTGAGTGCTGGTCTGCCAAACAAAGAGTTGCCGGTTCAATTCCCAGTTAGGGCACATACCTGGGTTTTGAGCAAGGTCCCCAATAGGGGGTGTGTGAGAGGCAACCACACATGGATGTTTCTCCCTCTTTCCCCCTCCTTTCCTTTCTCTCTAAAAATAAATCCATAACGTCTTTTTAAAAAATGAGAAAGAGGGCTCTGGCTGGCATAGCTCAGTGGATTGAGTGGGGGCTGCGAACCAAAGTGCTGCAGGTTTGATTCCCAGCCAGGGCACATACCTGGGTTGCAGGCCATGGCCCCCAGCAACCACACATTGATGTCTCTCTCTCTCTCTCTCTCTGCCTCCCCCCCTCCCTTCCCTCTCTAAAAATAAATAAACCTTAAAAAAAAAAAGAATTTAGTGCTATTGCCGCCATCAAGATATGTGATCTAGAATCATATATACATATATACATATTTTCTTAAAAAATGAGAAAGGGAAAATTATTTGTATCTCCCTCATTCCCAAATAAATAGTTTGAAATCACAAGTAGCTGCAAATTGCAGAGCCACCTTTTATTCTTCCTGGATGGATGGCATGGGCTGCAGGAACAAACCGCCCTGGATTTGTGCTCGAATGGGGGCAGGGAAGATGTACTGCTGGCCTCCAGTGCCACCCGATCAGTCCCAGACATGGAGTAGCTTGGGCCTTTGGGGACACATAGCAAAGTCAAGGAGCCATCCTGAGTCACGTGGCAGTAGCAGTTCAAGTCCCTGTCTCCTTTCCACACTCTGCCTGCCTTTACCACTTGGGGAGTGCCATGGCATTGGGTGGCTTTGTTTACCCCTCCCCCCAGTAATTTACTACCCATTTAAATAACTTTATGTACCCTTCTGGCCATGGAATATTTAATACGTGCAGGTGAGATGGCATGAATAAGCTAACAGAAATAGTATCTAAAAACAGAAAAGCTCTATATTCAGATACCTAAACAAGGAACTTTGGCTTGTCAGCAGGAATTTCCAGCACACATAAGAAAGGCACGGGGAGAGGTGTACGGGATGTGAGAACATGGGTCCCTCCCCAAGCTCTAGCCCCCCTCCCACCCTGTGGGAATATGAGGAAGGCCATTTGTAAGCGAACCGTGGGGCTGACCTCGGGAGCCTGGCCAGCTCCTCAGTCAAGAAATGAGCAAAGACAAACTGTTTTCGGATGTGAGCCCAGACTGTAAACAACTTCGGGGAAACAGCTAGTGTTTTGATCTCACAGCTTGCACACGAGCGCTCTGCCCACCCAGTCTGCTTTGTTTCCTGTGTTCTATATATCCCTGTGCTGGGAAAGCCTGGGTTGGGGCAGACTTCACCAGCTGGCCGCCACGGATGCACATGTAAGTCTAAATAAACCCACGTCTTTCACAGCCAGTCCTCTGGGTTTTCTTTGGAATCAGCAGGCAATGTGTGGAGTGGACCTTGGCTCTTGGCATAACAAGGAGGGAGCTCAGGGCAAAGCGCCCCAGCACTGTGAGGAAACTGGTTTGTAATCAAACAGAGATGCCTCCTGTTTCCTATTGTGTTTGCCCAACATTGGGAGATTTCCCACTCAGACCCTATTTTAGCTCTTGAAAAGCTCACTCTTGGCTGAGTCCCACCAGGCCAGTTTTACTCCCTTGTATTACCTGCCCCTAGAGACAATGGTTGATGCATGGTATACAATAATCGTAAGTTCATTTAAATTGAGGGATGTTTTTAAAGCCCACAGATGGGATGGATGTGGTAGACTGATGGAGGTCTCCCAATTTTTAGCTAGGCATATGGTGGCTACAAAGACCACATTTCCCAGATTCCCTTGCAGCTAGCTATGGCTACGTGAAGGACAGAGTTCTGGCTAAATTCCTGGGTAGAGTCCTCAGGCTTCAGAAAGGAACATTCTTTTCCTCCACCTTCCTGCCTGGAATGTGAATATCCAGGCATCTTGGACCATGAGAGCAACAGGAGAGATAGCAGAGTAACAAGACAGCAGGAGTCTGGACCCCGGTCAACATCATGCAGCAGAGCCGTCATATCAGCCCTAGAATGCCCACTCCTCTACCGTCATGTAAGGAAATGAGTCTCTACCTTGCTGAAGCTGCCATTAGTTTGGGCCTCTGTCACATGCAGCATAATTTACAACCTAAGGCAGAGTTCTGCAAACTAGGACCAAATGCAGCCTGCCTCCTGGTTTTGCAAATAAAGTTTTATTGGAGCACAGTCATGCTCGTTCACTTGCATGTTGTGTGTGGCTGTTTTCACATAGGACAGAGGATCTGAGTACTTGCAACCAAGATCATATGGCCCACACAGCCTAAAACAGCTAACATGTAGTCTGTCACAGTAAAAGCGTGCTGACCCCTTGTCCAGCTAACAGACATACACCTACTCTGAGCCCAAATGCAGGATTCCCACCCTGGGAACAATCCCCTCTAGCACGGTTATGTGTGCGTAGTGTTTGGGGCAGGCCTGGCCAGCCTGGAGCTCTGCTGGGGGATCACTTTTTTCTAAGATACCAACTTCACCAAAGCCAAACATTTCCTCTGGCACTGGGTGAAAGCCCAGAAGTTTCTGACCCAGGTGTTTCATACCTCTCCTGCCCCAAACTCAAGTATCCCACCCCACACGTGTTCTCAGGACAGACAGCTGCCCACCCAGGTACCCACTGGCTTCCTGTTCTCTCCACACTGCAGACGGCATGGGCTCCCAAGATTTCACACAGCATCACAGGTGACTCCCAAATCTTTACCTTCAGCCCAAACTGCAGATGTCCCCCCATGAGACACAGCCACCTGGACAATACATGGAGTTGCAAACCTAACATGGGTCACCACAACTGCCACCATATTCACAAACTGCACTCTACTCACTTCTTGAAGAATCTGACGACTTCTCCCCCAGCCCTACTCTCCTAACTGCTCCCCTGCTGAGGATGCCCCTCCAGTCTCTGCTACAGAACATCCCCTGTGCGTATGTCAATCAGCTTACACCCTGCTCATTTAAAACCCTGCAAAGGAATCCCCTAAATAACTTCCAAAGACCTCACCCAGGCCCTCAAAACCCAATCACGACTAAGCCTCAGCCTACTCAGCAACCTCAGCTCCCTCCTCACTCTGTCTTCACTGCTGTCCAGCCACAGATGCCAGGCTGGCTTCTGCCTCAGGGCCTTTGCACTTGCTGTGCCCTCTGCCTGGAGGACTCTCACCCATAATTTCACAAGGCCACTTCCTCATTATTCAGGTCTCAGCATGTGCCACCTCCTCAGAGAGGTCCTTCTTGACCCGATTGGCTAAAGTAGCACCTTTAACCCTTACTCTAATCTTTTCTCAGCACTCTTCAACACCTGGAGTCATCATCACACTTGTCTATTTCATTATCGGTGTCCTCATTTTGGACTCCAAGCTCCCAAGGGCAAGTGCCATGTCTTCCTCACTGTTCACCCCTGGCACCTGGGATGGCACTTACCAAGGACACTCAAAAGACACCCCTTGACTTTGTGTGTCTGCCTGGTGTTGCTTGGCCTCCGCCGGCCTCAGAGAGCTGGCTGCCTTAAGTCCTACCCGTAAGAGGTATGAGCAGAAGGAAGATGGGAGAGAAAGGGTCTCGCCTGGCTCTGGGCTCCTGCTGGAACCCCTCCAGCACCTTCCTGTGCTCACACAAGGCACTGTGCTTCTCTTGAAGTTTAAGCACCTGCCCATGGTGCCTCATCACCGGTCCCTGCACCAGCCACACATGGCCTGTTGGGTTCTGGTCACCTCACCTCTGTTTCTGTAGCACGGTCCTGGGGGTGGGAACTTCTTGCAGACACATTTCACGGTTATTTCACTCTTTCGTGTTTGCACTTCCAGCCTTGCAACACTCATGTGACCAGTTCCCTGTGTTGTAAGTCCTCTTGGGAATTCCTACCTTTGAGTGAGCCTGAGGAACTTCGGAATGACCCCACGGGCAGCAGACTGAGTCTCGAGTCCCAGGCTCTCACGATCCTTATTGATTTTTGCTGACAAATGGGTCATTCTCTACATGTTTGCTCAGAAAGAAAGCCCTGCCTTAGGGCAGAAGAGGCCTCACACACGCTGCCCCAGGAAATAAAATCCGTGTTGTTTTAATGAGCCATGTGTTTCTGCTTTGATGATTCTAAGATTCAATGATGCTAAGTATAAGCTACAGTGGGTGTGAAAGTCTCAGCGGATCAATGTCAGGTTCTGTGATTCGGGGCTTCTAGGATGAGAAGTATGGGTTTTGAAAGATGCTTTGGTCTAAGAGCCTGTAATAGGGATCAAATGCAAACACTCTTTGGGGCCAGAGGGGTAACAAGTCAGTGCAACAAGCAGGCGTGAGGGGTCCAGACGATGGTGGCAGGGAATGCCCTGTTACTCAGCTCCAGCCAACTGCTGCCCCCTGGGACTGTGGGCTCAGCAATCCAGATATCACAGTTTCTCAAGAGAAGCCACAAAACTCCATTTCTACGTGAAATATGCCCATTTGTAAATGGTGGTAACCAACATGACTTAAAAAACCTCAATGACCCCGTGGAGACCAAATGCAGGTCAGACGGTGGACAGGGGCAGCCGCCAGATTGCCACTGCTGGTATGGGGCTCCATGGTGAAGAGTGTGTGCCCTGCTTCCAGCCATCTGGGAGCAGACCTGGGCGCTGCTCGGTGCCAGCTGTGACCACTCGCGGCTAACTCAGGGTCTCAAGCCCCAGCTGTGTGGTTGTAAAGTGACATGACAGCAGACCCTATACCTCTAAGGATCATGACGATGGCTGAGACACAGAGAGAAGGCCAAAGTCAGTGTAGTTTTCTATGTGGCTGCGCCCTCTGCCCCGGTCTTCCCTCCATTCCTCAGCAGCCTCTCGCCTGTGCGCTCTGCCACAATCATCCCAAGCGGACCCCCACCTCAGGCCCCCTGAGCTGGCTGTTCCCGCAGAAGCCGCAAGGCTCACTCCTTCCCCGCCTCCAGGTCCCTGCTTTGGCGTCCCTTACCGGTGAAGCCTTGCGGACCACCCTATCTGCAACTGCTTCACACACAAGCCTGCCCACCCCCTCCCTCTTCCTCCACAGCATTCACTACCGTCCGACAGTACATACACGTTATACTTCAGTGTCTAACACAGCATCTGTCTCTCCCCCAGGGCAACGTCCACAAAGGCAGGGTCCTTGGTCGTCATGCTCACCAGTCTGTTCCCAGCACCCCAGACAGTGCCTGCATCTCACAGGTGCTCAGTAAACCAGGAGTAAATAAATCACAGTCCCTACCTCAGAAGAATCCGAGGCGATTGTCCACATAAAGTGCTTAGCCCGGGGCCTCGTCCGCTGCCGGTAATTCAGGTTCGTAGCTGCCAAGCCTCTATGAGTTAACACATGTAAAGCGCCTTAGAACAGGGCTTGGCACGTAGCACATGCTCAGTAAATGGTAGCTGTCATTATAATTAGGCTTCTATTTTCAAAGCAGCTTTGGTGCCAAGCTTCTGTGAGTTAGTACTTCCCATCTCTGAGCAAGAGCCAAAGTTTGGACAAGGCTGTAAGGAGCCCCCCACCCCACCTGGACCGTTCTCCCCAACAAAGTGCAAGGCTCCCTCCCTCAGCTCTGTCCCTCCCACAGGGAGGACTACACTAGTTAAAATCGCAACCCCCCTTCAGAACTCTTCTCCCTCCTCTGCTGTATTTTCCTCTACAGCAGGCACCGCTCGGGATATACTACACATCTCGTTTACTGTCTGTCCCCACCGGTGGCCCCTTTCTGCTCCGCCCCATCCCAGGTAAACTCCATGAGGACAAGCATTTTATTCTATTCATGGGCATATTCCCAATGCTTAACGCACAGGTCCTCCAAAGGTATTTGTGGAATGAATTAATGGCTCACAGTCCCTACCTCCGAGTTATTCTAAGGTCCTGATGATCTCATGCAAATGAAATGCGGAACTCTGGAAGTGCTGGGGAAAATGGCAACCGTGATTATAACTAAGGTTCTATTTTTGTCAGTTCCTAGATGCACAACTCATTTATGAGGCAACACGTACAAAGCTCTTGCACTAGCACTTGGCACCCGGGAAGCACAGCTATGATTCTAATGAAAGTTTTTTTTTTTAAATCCTCACCCAAGGATGTGACTATTGGCTTTAGGGAGAGAGGAAGGGAGGGAGGAAGGGAGGAAGGGAGAGGGAATGAGAGGGTGTGGGGGAGGGGAAAGAAACATGGATCGGCTGCCTCCAGCATGCACCTTGACCCTCGGAGATAGAACCCTCCGCCTTGTAGGAGGGTTCTACCAGACGGGACCCTCTTGTAGGTGTACAAGACGATGTTCCAACCAACTGAGCCACCCTGCCAGGTCAGCAAGTCAAGTCCTGGGAAGGTTCTTAGGCAAAGTCGCAGGGAACACGAACTGTCCTCCACAAAAGATTTTTTGCTTTCGGGGTACTTGGCTAGGCTGCCTTTCCCAGACTCCCTTGCAGTGAGCTGCAGCCGTGTGACTATTTCTCGGCTAAGGGATGCCAATGGGAGCAGTACTGCCACCTCTAGGCTCTCCAGGCTCCCAGGCCAAGGCCACCCAGCATGACCATGGGGAGGAAAAAAGGCTTAGGAGATGGTCTGGGTCCCCACATCGCCAGATGGAGAAGGGCTGCCTGCCAACCTGAAACACCTACCCTGGACGATTGTGTGAGTGAGAAACAAAATTTCGTTGTGTTTGAGCCTGTCCATCATGGGGTCTACGAGTAAATTTATGGAAACTACACTGAATGCATAGTGTTTAGTAAATGTTAATTACCTAGGCAACAATTACCCTAAAGTTCCCCCTAGAAGGAGCCCAGGGGGTGAGGGGCATGCAGGTGGATGCCCAGGCACATGCCTCACAGCCTGGAGCACACACACACACCAAACATGCTGGACTGACACACACAGAATCTGGCTTTATTCTGGCCTTCACACATACTAAGAGGACACAGATCAGCAGTAACCCCCCCCAAAAGACCATTTCAAGCACCCGGTTTCCTCAGCCCCCTCTTCCCACCCAACCCCTCCTGCCAGGCTTTCTGGGTGGGGACTCGCCTACACCTCCCCCCGGGCATGCAGCATGAAGTGCCCGTGCAGCTCCCCGAGGTTGTCGAAGGAATCCTCGCACTCCGTGCAGTGGTAGGTGCCCTCCTCGTCCTCATCCTCCTCCTCCTCTCTCCCGGTGGGTCGGCCCTCCCTAGCCCGAGGGGGCTCTTCTTCTTCCTCCCCCAGCACCCTGCCTTCCGGGGCGGGTGCTTCCTGGGGGGCTGTGGCAGGAGAGCAGAGGCGGCAGGGTGGGGTGCCTGGCGGGGCCTCCCCAAGGGGTGAGCGGCCACAGAGCTGGCAGGGCTGGGCTGCGGGGCCCGGGGGCTGGGCTGCTCGGGGGGCCCGGCGGGACGGGCCGCCCCGGCCCCCACCCAGGCGCTGCTTCACCTTGTAGCCAGGGTCATATTCAGGGTCATCAGTGGTCTCCTCCTCCTCTTCCTCCTCATCTTCTTCCTCTTCAGAGTCCGGCTCTGAGAGTGTGTACTCGGAGTCAGAGGAATGCTCGGGGCCTGCAGGGGGACAGGAAGGGAAAGACAGCAGCATCAGAAGACAGAAGGCTACACCCAGGTGACTGTCCCCTCCCCGAGCCCTGCTGAGGCTAGTGCCCCAGAGAGAGAGGGTGGCCTGGGCACAGCCCTGCCCTTCCCAACAGATGGCTCCCCATCCCACACACCAGGCCTGGCACGTGGTAGGTGGTCAGTGTCTGCGTGTCAAGCAAATGAACAGCATCTTAGGGGCTAATAAAGACAAACCAGGAGTAAACGTGGGAACAGTAAAAATGGCAGCAGCAGCCGCGCCCATCACTTTTGGAAGAGCCCTAGTCTCACATATTAACTCACCTAACCCTTACAGCAACCCTGGAGGGAGACATTATTATTACTATTATTATTATTATTCCTGAGTGACAAGCTCTTACTCCTGAGTCACACAGCTCTAACCGGGAAGGCTAAATATAGGCGGTCGCCTATGTGAAATCATTTTAGGGAGACAAACGTTTGAACAAGCACCTCCTAAGGCAGATTCAGGCTCAGCACTGCGGGGACACAGAGACCCTGCAGGAGTCTCCAGGCCCCAGACCCAGACAGTGAGGGCTCAGGTGGTCAGTTGTGTCAGGGCCAGGGCAGGGGGACGGCCAGCACCCGGGGAAGTCAGGGAGGGCCTCACAGGGAGGGGAGGTGTGAGCTGGACTCTTAAAGAGGAGCAGGAGTTTGCTGCTAGAGACGGAAAAGGTGGCCCCAGTGGGAGAGGGGCAGGTATTCAAGCCAATGAAAAGACACGGTACATGTGGACTTAGACAGACGTACGTGGTTTTACACAATGACAGGGCCGCACTTCTGTTGTGCGAACGTGACAGACAGCACTTACACAAATCTGGACCGTCCAGCCCACCACACACACCCAGGCTATCGCTCTACCTCGACTCTCCTGGGCTCTGGGCTGAGACGCCCCTCTCATAAAGACAGTCCTCATCCTCACCTCCTCTCTCCCGGGGGGGTGGTCAGGTGGGAGGAGGATGAGGATGAGCACAGGAGGCAACAGTCGGGTAACACGCACAGCCCTGTACACGTGGAAGAGACTCGGGAAAACGGAGTAACTCACCAACATGGCTGAGCCGCCACCTTAAATAGCTCTTCAGCTGAAGACCAAGATGCTGGGGGTGGGGGACGCCCGCTCTGGCAGATTGCCAGAAAAGGCCGGTCACCGAGGGGTGGGATGTTAAGCAGATTTAAGTCCTGGTCTCTGCACCGAGGAACATTTTTAGAGATAAGGTAATCCCCTTCCTGGTACCTGCCTGACACACCCTTACAAAGGGAAATTTCCCTTAAAAATGTAAATGCCTCTCACAAAGGGTAGCTGCTTCTTGGTCTTCAGAACTTCCCCCTAACAGTTATTTCTTGAAACAACCAGCTTAAAATAATCCTTATGCAAAACAGACCTACAGCTGACCTCTGAACAGGAAGGTCTGGACTGAGAGGGTCCCCGGAAAGAGCCTCGTCATGAAGGAGCCTGAGCAGGTCTAACCTGCGGGGTCCCAGGGCTAACTGTACACGGGGCGACCAAGTCGGTGCCCCTCTAGCCCCGAGGACGCACACCGGCACGGCGTGTGCCTGTACCGAATACTGCCAGCAGCGGTACAGCGGTGCGTCTCATGTGCTGTGCCACGCAGCCACGATGGCTACAACGTCACAGGCAGCGAGAATTTTTCAGCTGCATTCTGATCTATGGGCCCACTATAGTATATGTGGTCAGTTGTTGACCAAAATTTCATTCATTGTGTAGCATGTGCCTGTATAGATGTCTAGTTAAGTGAATTAGAAGATTTATCTGTATGTATAGATATAGGATTGTGATTAAAAAACAAAACTTTCTTCATTTTTAGAGATGGGGAAGGGAGGGAGACAGAGGGGGAGAGGAACATCGTTGTGCGAGACAAGCATACATCGCTGCCAACCGGGGGACCTGGCCCTCGCTGACTGGGACCTGAACCAGCGACCTTTTGGATCACAGGCTGGCACTCAATTCACTAAGCTACACCAGCCAGGGCTGGCTGTGGCTGCGTGCATGTGAAGGACATGTCTAGGACAAGTTTAGGTTAAAAAAAAAAAAAGAAAAAAAGAAACAATTTAAAGTCCATGCACAGGAAAGGGTGACACCAGCAGTCATTATGGGGGTGCACACACAAGCAATGGTCCAGGAAGAGGAGCCCCAACTTTGGTGGCGGTGTGGGGATTACTGCTTCTTTAGATGCAGGGGCGGGAGCCTGCCATGAGTATCTCCTAGAGCTGCAACAGCCTTCCCCTGCATTCATCCTGGCCCCCCTTCCTCCCCTCTTCCTCAGTTTTCTCTAGCAGCCCAGAAGGCTCTTATTACAACTGAGCCAGCCTGGGCCTCCTCACTGTCCCTCCACACCCCAGGCATGCACTGGCCTCAGGGCCGTGCCATCCTTCCTAGAGTGGACTAAGCCCTTGCCCCTGCCCCTCTGCCACATCTCTGCTCCAGTGCTACCTTCTCAGTGACACCCTGATCACTCCATCTAACCAGCAATCCCTCCCCAGCATTCCTATGCCCCTAACCCTGCTTTATTTTTCTCAACTTACTTTATGTAACACCTACTTGTGTGTTTACTGCCTGTCCCACAGGAAGCAGGGACTTTTCTCTGGTTCATTTCAGCCCCAAGGCCCAGACCTCTCTCCTCCAGGCCTTTGCCTTTGCTGTTCCCCCACCTGGGGCCACCTTTTCCATACTGAGCAGCAAATTCCTGCCCTCTTTTAAGGCTCCAGCTCACTCATCACCTCCTCTGTGAG